TGGAGGGGACTCCCTGCACCCCCCAACCCCGAGCCCCCCGGCCCTTGGGGACTCCCGAGATCTCCCACCCCCAGGATCCTCCCCGGCCCGGGGATGGGGGTCCCAGACCGCTGTGGGGGTCCCGAGTTTTGGGGGTCTCACCCCGGCAATGGGGCTTGGTTCCACCCCATGGAGGGCCCGGATCCCCGGGGGTCCCAACCCCTAACCGGGGTCCCAGCTCATTGTGGTTCCCACCCCAGAGGGGGGGTCCCGGCCCGTACCGGGGGTCCCGGGGGTTTGGGGGTACCTGGGCAGGCTCGCAGGAAGCAGACGCGGGTGTCGATGCTGGGGGGGTGAGCGCAGCTCCCCCCGGGCGGGGACCCCCCCCGGCGCCGCAGGGCGACCCCCACCCCGCAGGAGCGGCTGCAGGACCCCCACCCTCCCCAGGGTGGGGGGGAGCAGCCTGGGGGGGATGGAGGGGGCAGCGTGACCCCCATGTGTTGGGGGGCCCCCCGCCCCTGAACCCACAGTCTTGGTGCCCCCCCAAATCCCCAACCTAGGAAGGCCCCAGCCGACCCCCCCCCCGCCGCCTTGGCCGGGGTGACCCCCCTCAGAAACCCCCCGTCCCTGGGGGGCTGTTTCGAGGGGCCCGTCCGTGTCCCCCCCCCGGGGTCCCCTCACCTGCGGGGGTATCGGCGGGGACCCCCGTGGGAGCCGGCGAGGGCAGCGCCCGGAGCTGGGGGGGCTCGGGGGAGGTCGTGACACTCCCGGGGGCTCTCGGGCTCTCCTCGGGGAGGGTCACGGTTCTGGGGGTGTCCCCGGCTGCGCTGGGGGGCTGCGGGTGGGTCTCGGCACTTTTGGGGGTCCCCGACGGCGGCCCCCCGAGAGCGGCCGTAGGGCTGGAGGGGGAGAGGGGGTCAGGGGAGACCCCCTCGGTGCCCTCCGGACTTGGGGACCCCCAACTCCCAGGACCCCCAAGTCCTGAGCCTTCCCACCCTCGGTGTCCCCCCGCACCTGGGGCTGCCGGGGGGCTCGGCCGGGGGGCCGGGGGCCAGCGCTGTTGTCGCCGAGGGGGGGGTGCCCGGGGAGGTCGCGTTGTCACCTGCAGCGGGGACGGACACCGGGGCCACGGTCACAGGGTCTCCCCCGCGCCCCGGGACCTCGGGGTCACTCCCGCTCCCCCCGGGACTCCCCGGGCCCCCCCACTCACCCGCGGGGGCGCAGGAGCAGCAGGACCCGCCGTCACCTTCCCGCAGCGCGTGGCCCTTGGGGACACCGACAGCGTCACCGCCACCGCCCCCCCGGCCGCCCCCGCCCCCCGCGCCCCCCACTCACCCGGGGACAGCCGGTGTCGCGGAGGGGGCAGTAGGGGACACAGCGGACCCCCCCGCCGGGCAGGCACTGGCACACCTGGCACGGGCCCCCCCGCCAGCGCTCGCCGGGGACGCGCCACCGGCCCCGCTCGTGGCACCGCCGGCACGGCCCCGTGTGGCACCTGCGGGGCGGGGGGGGCGTCACGCACCCGGGGGACCCCCCGGCCCCCCCGCGACCCCCCCGGGCCCCGCTGACCGTCGGGCCTTGCGGTAGATGCCGCGGCAGTGCCGCCCCCCCCCGCGCCGGGGGGGGTTCGAGGGGCTGCGGAACGACCACTGCACGCCGGGGGTCCCGCAGGTGCCCGCGCACGCGCCCCACGGCGACCACGACGACCACCCGCAGTCCACTGTGGGGGGCACCGGGTCACAGGGGGTCCCCCCGCACCCCTCGGGGTCCCCACGGCACCGCCGGGGGTCCCCCCGCACTCGGCCCCGCGCCCGGACCCACCTGAGCAGCCGGGGAGGGGGCGGCAGTGCCGCAGGCGCCCCTCGAGGCAGGTGCAGAGGCGGCAGCCGAGGGGCACCGGGACCCCCGGGGGGTACGCGCGCCCCCCCGCCCGGCACGGGCACTCCCGCGGCCACACGCACCGGGCGGGCCCCGCGCCGGGCTCGGGGGCGTCCAGCACCCGCCCCGCCGGGCACCAGCACCCTGGGGAGGGGCGGGGGGTCACCGGGTGCCCCTCACCTCGGGGTGCCCCCCCCCGGGTCCCCCTCACCTGGGCGGCAGGGCGGGGGTCGCGGGCAGGCGACGGCGGCGGCCAGGTCGGCGCAGGAGGAGGGGCAGGGGGCGCAGGGGAGGGGGCGCAGCCCCCCCTCGCACTCCGAGGCGTTGAGGCACCCCCCCGGGGGGCAGGGGGCTGGGGGGAGCGAGGGGGTCAGCCACGGAGACCTCCTGCCCCGTAGAGGCCCCCAATCTATAGAGCCCCCATCCCACCGGGCCCCACCCGTCCCATCAGGACCCGCCTGTCCCACAAAGCCCCCCCACTCTGTGAGGACTCCCGACCCACAGAGCCCCCCCGTCTGTGGAGCCCCCCATCCCAGCGGGACCCCCCATCTCATTGGGCCCCCTGCCACACTGCCCAGAGCCCTCCCCGAGCCCCCCTCCTGCCCCGTACCCCCCTCCCCCCGCACCCACCCATCTCCAGGGCTCCGGGGGCCCCCCCGGGCAGATCCTCGCAGGCTCGGCCGCCGTTCTGGGGGGGCCGACACCCCCTCCTGCGCAGCCGGACCCCCCCGCAGCCCCCCGGGCAGTCGGACCAGGGTCCCCACGGGCCCCACTCGCCGTCCACTGCGGGGGGGCGGGGGGGCGTCAGGGGGAGCCTCGGAACCCCCCAAGCCCCCCGGGCTGTGGGACCCCCCAAACCCCCTGTGCAGCCCGAACCATGGGGACCCCCAAAACTCTCGGCATCCCATGGGACCCCTCCAACCCCCCGGTCCATGGGACCCCCCCAAATCCCTCGAACTCCCTGTGCAGCACCCGGGGGTGCCACAGGGACCCTCAAATCCCTCAGGCACCCCATGAGACCCCCAAACCCCGAGGTCCCCCCCAGACCCCCCCGCTCACCTGGGCAGGCTCAGTGGAAGCAGAGTCCCTCCTGCCCGCGCTGCCCCCCGCACCCCCGGGACCCCACAACCTCCCGGGACCCCGAAACCCCCGTCCCCCCAAACCCCCCCAAACCTCCCCGGGTGTCCGGGCCCCCCCAGCCCGCGGGGTCCCCCCGGCTCACCTGGGCAGGCCCGGTGGAAGCAGGGTCTCTCCTGCTCGCGCGGCCCCCGGCACCCCCGCAGCAGCCCGGGGTGACCCTGGTGACACCCCCGGACCCGGCGCTGCCCCCCGGGCCCGCAGGGGCGGCTGCAGGACCCCCAGGGGCCCCAGGGACCCCAGAGGCCGCACCCCCGCTCGTCCATCCCCGAGCTACAGTCCCGCACCCCGTCACACACCTGAGGGGACAGCGAGGGGGGACTTGGGGAGGTCGGGGACAGGGGGGTGGCACCGCAAGGGAGGCGGGGGACACCAAGGTGGCATTGAAAAGAAGTCGAGGGGACGCCGGGACACTGGAGTGACAGCGGGGCGACACCAGGAGAGGGTTCGGGGCGTCGGGGACACGGGTGGGAGGGTCGAGGGGACATCGGGAGGGGGCAGAGGTTACGACGGTGGCAGGGGGTCGGGAGACACCGCAGGGAGGGCTGAGAGGACTGAGAGGTGGCATCAGGAGGGGTTGGGGACAGCGGGGTGGCACTAGAAGGGGGTCGGAGGGACACCGGGACCCCGCGGGGAAGTCCCCCCTTGGCCCCCCGTTACCTGCTGGAAGGTGACACATTCGTCCCCCCCGCAGTCGAACTCGGCGCAAGGACCCCCCGAGCTGCTCCCGGGACCGCGGGGCTCTGGTGGGGGTCGGACAGGGGGGACTCTGAGGGGTCCCCGGGGGACGGGGGGGCTGTGGTGGGGAGGGGATCCCCGGCCAAGCCCCCTCCGGTGGGTCCCTCCACTGCTGAGCCCCCGCCCTACCCCCGCAGCCCAGGGTCCCCGGGGTCCCCAGGAGCGCATCCGGGGGGACCCCCAGGCCTCCCTCCTCCCAGGTGTCCCCAGAAGTGACCGGGGGTCCCGGGGGTCTCACCGCACAGCTGAGGGCTCTCATCGGCGCTGTCGCGACAGTGGGGGACGCCGTCGCAGAGGTAGTGGGGGGGGACGCAGGCGGGGGCGCAGGGGGAGTCGCAGGGCAGGTGGCCGGGGGCGCAGGGGGGGTCGCAGGGCAGGTGGCCGGGGGCGCAGGGGGGGT